CCAGCACTTGCACGCTCACCCCCACATAGTCGTTGCTCAGCGAACACTTTCTGCGTGGATGAGCGTGGTGAGTGCGTATGTACTGGCATGTCTCTTGACTGTAAGCGTCTCTGGAGTCACAACAAGCTGCCTGACAGGATAGAACTTCCATCGCTGAGTGATCCTGCCAGGGAATGTCTCCAACTGCTACAGCCTCCACCACCTTTAACCCATTTCCGTATTCGAAAATAAAAGTCTCAAAATTCTGGCTAGTTTTTGGAGGACTAATTTTATTTTGCTTAACAATCAACTTTAGTAACTATACATTCACGGAGGAGAAAATAAACAAGACTGATAACAGAAAATGGTGATTTATAAGGGTAATTCACTGAGTGTTTTCAGCCTGGAAACTGCTCTGTGTCGTTAGCCTGTGTGATGGTGACCAGAGACGGAGAGACTCAGGATATCGTGAGTGTAACTTGAATATGTCCTGCCGGGTCTACCCATCTGGGGTGCCTGCTCTGCTCCTTGATCCCGACTTCATTCCGGACGTGAGCTCATCACCTCTGAAACTGACACAGGAGCAGCATTTTGCCACAGACGAGAGGATTGGAATTGCTCTAGACAAGTGAAACAAGGCCCACTGTCTGCTGAAGGAGGACACGTTAAAGTCCTCTGCTAAAGATTCTCTGCTGGGCTGGAGAACCAGGGTCAGATCCATTTAACAGCAAATAAAGTGTTACACAATTTATAGATTTCATAGGACTAATTGAGGCTATAAAAAGTTCATTTTGCTTAGTAGAAATACTAAATATTGATAATAAAATTATAGAAAACAGTCTTCAATGCTAGAATGATCTTTTAAAAATCTTGACGAAGCAGCATCTTGAATATCCACAGGGTTATGTGGACTTTGCCTTGCAGTGATGTGCACTGGCCCTTCCTAAGATCAAACTGGAAGATTCCTGTCCTTTCTATTTATCCTGCCTAACAGCTTTGTTTCCCGTCTTCTCCAGGGGAACGTTTCATTGCCAAGCTCCTTAACTCATCATTAAAGACTTCCTCAACATACTCTTGCCTGCAAACACTTATCGAGGAAGATCCAGTACTAAATAAAACAGATTAAAGCCCTGTCCACCTGAAAGTTTCTTTACTTTATCGTTCTTCCTTAATTGAAAAATGGAAGAATCCAAAGATTTTTTATTCCATTCCCCAGATCAGGGAAAGACACCAGCCACAGGCCCAGAGGCTGCTCCGGTTCTGAGAGGGAACTAGTGTTCATTTCTTGGTACTTTCTGCCCTGAGTAACACCCAGGGAGGAACTAGCCGGAACAGGTCAGAAGCCTTCCCTAGAAGGAGGTTTCTGGGGCGCTGATTAAGCACTCTGAGAAGGAAGAACAGCAACTGAGAAACGGTTTCTTCAAAGTCATCACCCACTGTGTGGCAGTTTGAATGTAACTGGCCCCCATTTTCTTATAGGGAGCAGCACTAATAGGAGGTGTGGATTTGTTGGAGTGTGTATGGCCTTGCTTGAGGAAGTTTGTCACTGTGGGGTTTCCTATGCTTGGAATACCAACCAGTGAGTCCGTTGACTTCCTGTTGCCTTTGCAGTGTAGCACTCTTGGCTCCAGCCCACATCTGCCTGGCATGGCCACCAGGCTCCCCATCGTGATGATAATGGACTGAACCCCTGAAACTGTAAATTAACCATCCCAATAAAATGTTTCCCTTTATAAGAATCTCCATGGTCATGGTGTCTCTTCACAGCATTAAGAAGCCTAAGACAGAAGTTGGTACCAGGAGTGGGGTGTTGCTGTGATAGACCTGACCATGTGTTTGCTTGGAGGAATTTGGACTTTGGTACTTTGGGTTAGGAAAGCAGTGGCTTGCTTTAAGCACTGCTTAATGGGCCATACTTGCAGGAGCATAGAAGACAGCAGACTGATACTGAATGTGACTTGATGAACTGGGGGAGAGGGGGACGTGCTCAAGAGGTTACACAGGAGAAGAATTTTACTATATTGCCTAGAGCTTTTCTTGTGATATTTTGGTGAAAAATAAGGTTGCCTTTTGCCCTTGTCCAAAGATTCTGCCCAAGACTAATATGAAGAATTTTGGATTAATTACATTGGTAGAGGAAATCTCAAAATAGCCTAGTAGTATATATTTCATTTTGTGGTTACTAGTGTTAACTCTAATGAAGAGATATAAAGCAAAGGAACAAGCTGAGCAAGTAAAAATATTTGAGGAATAAAGGGCACCCGAAAATGGAATGGAGCTGAATCCTATGTTCAGAAATGGAGAAAAGGGAGTGGTGACCTCAGGACAGGATCCCACCCAGCTAGATTTTCAATTTGTGAAAAGGAAGTAAAGAAAAGTTGAGTCGGGTGTGGTGGTGCACACCTTTTATCCTAGCATGGGGGGGGGGCAGAAGTTTGGTGGATCTGAGTTCCAGGCCAGCCTGGTCTACAGAACAAATTTCAGGACAGCCAAGCTTAGGCAGTGAAGGACAGAAAGCTGCTGAAGATGAACAAAAGGGCCGTGTTCCAGCCCCAGTAAGCAGCAGAACTTGGCAGCTTCAGCCACATGGTTCTATATTTGGACTTAAGAATAGAAGAAATGTGTTATGGAATTTGTCTTTATGCCTAAGGAAAGCTACTGAGGGCTGTCAGGCATGTGTCATGGTGCCCCTGAATGGAGGCCTAGTAGAGAGACCATTGCATGAAGCCTGGATTGCCTTGGAGAACTTAAGTTAAAGATGCCAAAGTCCTGAAATATCTGCCGAGGAGAGCTGCTAACAGGGAGTGGAACCAGCCCAAGAGAAAGAAGTGTGTTGCAGTCAACAATGCTGAATGGAATTGGAGATCTGAAGAGCAATTTGACATTAAACACAGAGACACACAATTTGGAGTTTGCCCAGCTGGTTTTCGGTCTAGCTTTGGTCTAGTATTTCCTTGCTAGGCTTCCCCTTGCTATGCTCCCTTCCTTGCATTTTGGAAGGGTAATGTATGTTCTGTTCCATTATATGTTGGTAGTATGAGATCCACTTTTTATTTTTATTTTTACAGATAATTACAGTTAACAGATTGCAAGGATCTCAGAAGAGACTTTGAACTTTAAAACATTGTTGAGACTGTGATAGACTATGGTGACTTTTGAAGTTGGACTAAATGAATTTTGCGTTATGATATTGTTACAAGCTTATATGGGCCAGGGAGTAGAATGTAGTAGTATCTCATAAGAAGTAGCATTATTAGGAGATGTGGCTTTGGTGGAGTAGGTATGGCCTTGTTGGAGGATGTGTGTCACTGGGGGGGGCAGGTTTTGAGGTTTCCTATGCTCAGGATCCTGCCCAGTGAGTCAGTTGACTTCCTGTTGCCTGCAAGCTGCATACTCTCAGGTCTGGAACCACATTGGCCTGCGTGACGCCACGCTCTCTGCCACGAAGATAATGGACTGGACCTCTAAAACTGTAAGGGAGCCACCCCAATTAAATGCTTTCCTTTGTAAGAGTTGCCGTGGTCATGATGTCTCTTCACAGCAATAGAACCCCTCACACTAAAACACACTGAATAGGAACACTAGACAGGAGTGGAGAAGCATGTACATGAATGGTGGACAATCCAGCTCTCTGCCTGGGTAAGGCTATGAAAAACGGCAAATGTGCCCAGGAGCCTCATTCCCTGAGGTCCGGCCTGAGAGAACAGAAGGCCAGAGCTGCTGGGACTTAAATCCCAGAGGGCTGTCAGAACAGCTGTCCCCTTCTCCCAGTCACGTGTCAGCTGATGAAACCTCTGAGGCTTCTTCCTCCTAATCATCGCTGATTGCTTTAAGTCATGCATTTCAAGGGAAACTGTATTTTATGCAATTTTGTATCTCTGAGTTTATAAATTGGAGTTACCATGTCGGGAGTGTTTGGACTTCGGCAGGGCTAGTCATAACAGGGGCCAGGGTGTCTGGTGACTAAAGAGCCCTGGCAACGAGAGTCATTGGAACTAATGCTCCCAAGTGCTTAACATTCTTTTTCGGTTCCTTAATCCATTTCACCAAATATAAGAATAAAATTTTTATGCTGAAATACTGGTGATACAATTTCTCTGCCATTCCCTGCTGTGTGAGCAAGGCCGGCAGACCACGGGAATCCAAAGGCTTAGGCTGTTCTTTTCCTTCACAGCTGGTGTATATTCAAAATGCAAGCCCGCCTGGGTCTTTCCAAGGAGAATATTCTTTTCATGATGAAGCTGGAGTAATCTATTCTTCAGTAGAAATGACCTCTGTTTTCATGGCCTCATAACTGAGCAGTTTCATATGAGTTGATGTATTCTTTTGAGATCAGAAATATCTGTCATAGATTTTTTTTTCTTCCTGAAGATTAGGGCAATAAGCAACCTAGGTTTCTCTGATCTTCAAAGGGAGCTATAAATGACTCCAAGGTCACCAGGAAGAAATTAGCACAAGCAACAAAAAAAAGCCAGATGGATGTTTCTTCAACTGATTGATTCTAGCTGCTTTCCAAAATGGAAGGAAATAAAAAAGTTTTAAAAAGTGACTTTTCTTTTTCAAAATAAATCTAAAAAGACAGACGTCTACCTAACTTAGACTGAAGATAAGGTAATGTTGATCACTTTGGTGAAACAAAAGGCAGAAAAATAATCACATTGATTTTAAATTGCATATCAGAGAATATGGACTGCTCTGATTACATCACTTATATGTTAAATGGCAGTGGCTGTCATTTACTGCCTAAGTGCCTGGCTTCACATACAACACAGCAGGCTGACGGCATGTGTGGGCTCCAGCATCTGAGTTTAAATGCCCACCATTGTCCATCTGTGTGATCTCAACAAACTACGGAACCTTTCCGCCTGTTCGCTCATTTGAACACTGAGGATAATGATGGTATTGACATCAGAGAATTGTTTGAAGATTGAGTGAAAACCATGCCAAGGTGTGTGTCCACGCACATTTACACACACACGCACACACACACGCACACACGCACAAACATACACTAGAATTAGTATGATTTCACTGGTGGTATGTAATCAAAGAGGCCCCATTCCACTTCCATTTTAACATGGAGAATATAAGATACAAGAATTTAGGGTTTTATCAAGGCTAACCACCCAGATCAAATCAGCCTTGTAAAACTCTTTAGATCTCTGCTTTTATCTGCTACAGCATGCTGCATTTGTTAAATGCACTGGTAACCTCAAACTCCATTTGATTTGGGCAGAATACAAATAAGTTCTATGTGCTTGGAATTAGCGATATGTCTCCATAAAGAACCACTCGTTTGACATCATCGTTTCCAGGTTCACTGCTAATGGGCTCGTGGGGACTTGGGATGAGCTCCTATCCAACAAGAATTACCAGTTCGTATCCCCAATCAGTCATGAGAAGAATTTAAATGTGAAGACAAAGACATGTTTAGAAGCTTGCAGTTCAACAACAAAAGCCCGAGAGGATTTCTAAGAGTATGCATCGCTTGTTGCTCTCCTTGATGGAGGCAATGGCTTTAAAATGTCTGCAGAAGAAAACAGGTTATGGTTCTTACACGTTCATGCAGGTGCAACGGTCTGGCTTGACAATCAAGAAGTTGGAGTTATGAGGGCAAAACTAAATGTGCAAGGATTTGGACAACTATGTCATGTAGAACCACGATTATGCTTTTACCGGTAGGTACAATTGTAGGCTGTTAGCGCTCAGAAAATGGTAAATGACCTCGATAAAGGGGCCGGGGAACTAGTATTCAGATTGCCTAGATTTCTAGCTCTCATTTGCAACCCTGTATTATTCAACTCCAGTGAAAACCATTTTCTTAGGAAGAGTTCTCACTTATTTAATTACCACCTTTAATATTTTTCCTTGTGTTTGTATGTATTATCTAAGTTTGTTTTTCTTTTGAAAACTAATAACCCAGTGAAGGGGAGATAATTTGTCTTTGTTTGGAAGCACACCAAGAGGAAAACCCACTGTCCTCGATTTTCTTTGTAGGAAAGGATGACGCTCGGAGTTCTAGATTTAAATCCCAGAGGAATCTCACTCCTGAAGAGATCACCAAGGGCCACCAAATAGAGCACAGTTTACCATGAGTGCTTATTCATGACAAGAGTAAAAATTAAACCATGTGATGATAAAGGAAAAAGATCTTTAAAATTATTTTTAAAAGGGGGGGATTTTGATTATTTAAGAGCACATCACCATAAAGTGGAAGATTACAGCCCTTTCCAAACCGCACTAAGGGAAAAAGAAGCCCGCACACGTCTCCACTCATTATCTGTTCTTGAGAAGTATGAGACTCACTTGGAAGCGCATTAAGAAGCAACCCAGAATTGTTTTAATAACACTTTCTTAAACTTTAATGGTTGGCAGAGTTCTTTAAGACTCCGTGGAAATAACCTCCCTATGAAAAGTACACGAACACAAAAACTTCAAGCAATCTCGGAAGGCACAGCAGGTCACTTGAAGCCTGTTTATGGATATAAGGACACGATTTGTGCTTTATTGGATGCAAATCTGAACTGGCCAAGCGTAATACGTACTCCACTCAATGGGACGGTTACCAAAACAAACCTCTTCATAGCTAGAGTTCTAATGGATTTCAAAGTGTTTCTTCATACGACCAAGATAATCTAGAGAGCTAGGAAGGCAGGCTGGGAAACTTAAAGGGTGCTTATCCTGCCTGTGCCTAATAAGGTGCCCACTCTAAGGCATGTTGCTTGGACTGATGTAGACTCATGGAATGTGTGGGCTCCGGCATCTGAGTTTAAATGCCCACCACTTACCATCTGTGTGACCTCAACAAACTATGGAACCTTTCCGCCTGTTCGCTCATTTGAACACTGAGAATAATGATGATATTGACATCACATAATTGTTTGAAGATTAAATGAAAACCACGCCATTAGGTGTGCATGCGCATGTGCGAGCATGCATGCACACACACTAGAAATAGTATTTCACTGGGGGTATGTAATGAAAGAAGTCACATTTCACTTCCATTTTAACAGGGAGACTATGAGATGTTGTTTAACAACACCCAAGATTCTACTAGAATTATTTTGCATAAGGAAGAACGTTCCCTTGTACACATCCTTATGGATCTTTTTCTTTGAATCCTCTAAGACAGACCGCTGGAGTGATAGCCTTTAAACTTTCACAAACTGCATGTTCTTTCATCGGATATGCATGGGAGCTCAAATTCTTGGGAATTTTGCTGTTATGGGTTTGCTCTTTTGTTTTTGAGTTTCATTGTTCAGTGCTTCGGATCACTCCAGGGTTTCAGACTGGAGGTGCACAGCCTGGATTTGGTGGGTGATGTCCTTGAGACTATTTCAAGGAAGTATATGAGATCCTTTCTTTGTCAACTCACAGATCTCCGTCTGGGTTTCTCAGAATACTTCAACCAAAACAACAGATTGCCACAGATTGGCCGCAGAAGCAGATATGAGAATCCAGATGTTTCCAGCCAGACACAAAGGAGATCTGCAAAGACAGAAACGACGGCGCTTTTCTATTTGCTTTGAGGATACTAATATAGACTTGTATGCTTTATCTTAAAATAATTAAAGAGAGAACTCTCATTTTAATTTCTAAATAGAAGCTCTTTGGAGTCCTCACTAAGATTTAAGAACATTAAATGGCCTTGGATAACAAAAAGGCTTGTTCATTTGACAAGTTTAAGACATAGCTCATCAAGCGTAGATGGAGAGGCACAGATGGATAGTCGGGGTCCAATGCAGGCACCACGTGTCTTCTCTTGGGACAAGAGTTCCTTAAATGGTACTAAAAGTGATGGGGGTGGGGGAAGATGGACCCAATCCAGTCTACTTTGTACCTTTGCTTGTGACCTGACCCAAACACAGCTGCTGTGGCAACTCAATTAGTAGAAAGAACTCTGGAAAAACAAGCAATCAGAGTGTAGTGTATCATAAAACAAGGAATGCTATCTGCAGACGGCAGACTCATGAGCTCCAAAGCTGGTGCATTCTCAACAGACAGATAGGGACAAAATGCCCAGAGTTCACGATTTTTGTTTGTTGCTACTTTGTGAAAGATTCATAAACTTTTGTAATACTTGTCAATAGAGTTTTTTACCTTCTGTAGAATTTCGGGGGCTATTAAAAGGTCAAATCAGCAAGAGATACAGGAAAAAAAGCCTAATGTGTTTCCCCAAGGCATATACTAAAATTTAACAATAACCGGTAGGCACTAAACATTTTGCTTGATTACTGTTGCTGTGGAAGGGTCTTGACTTTGGAATTGGGAAACAAAAAGTTTGTTGGCGTTTTGATACCTCGTTCGGGACAATTTAACTTCTACAAGTCTCATTAACTTATCTAATACGTGGATAATATTTATCTCACGAGGTTGTCAGGATCAAGAATCCCAGTGTCCTGTGCCAACGGTACAGTATAGAGCATTGCGGATCTTTGAGCGAATAGTGGATGGTGCCCCTAAAGGGCGAGGAGAGCAGTTAAGACCACGCAGGCACTCTAAAAGGTGGAAGGCCCGCTGTGCCAGGGTCAGGCACTACAGACAGACAGAGAGAAGCGTCACGGGTCATCCCTCTCTTCTCAGGAGATGGGAAGAGGCTTGGGAGAACTCAGGGCTATCCCTCTTTCCACACCCCGACCCCAGGTCCACTCCAGCCAGGCATACCTGTCCAGCGGCCACCCCATCTCACCAGTGACCAAGGGGCCCCCCGTTGCTTCCCCGCCAGATTAGAAGCACAGGACCCCGCAGCCCAGTGGGATGGCCCCCAGAGCCTCTAGCCCAGGATCGGGCCATCCACGCGGACCCATGCGCTGATCCAGGGTCGATTCCAAGTGGAGTTTAAGGGGTCGGGGGGTGGGGGTCACAGTCAGGAACTTCCAAGTTCACGGCTTCCGACCACCCACTCTCCCTTCACGAGTGGGCCACTATCAGCCTCAAGGATCTCCCGGGTGGACCCCAACACCAAGGACTGGGACTGCGGAGCTTCATCCACCAGAGGACTCACCGCACAAATCCTCCACCCCCGCACCGCGACTCGGGAGCCCGGGACTCGAGCGACCGGAGTTCGCGGCGCTCGCACATCGATTGGCACTGCCTCGCTGCTCGGGCTCCAGGCGCCCGGGTGAGCGGCGCGAGCTCAGCCGAGTCCAGCGGAGCGCGGGGC